CACTACTACCACACTCTATCAACCATCTCTTGTGAATCATTGTAAACTGGTTCAGTGTTATTGCAACCATAATGAAATGAATTAGAAGTATACACTATCATAGTCCGCGTTTTTATCGTATTATGCGCATATGTATCGCCTTGTGTTTTTGTGCATTCGTATACGATCGGTAAAACACCGAATACTGTCTAATACACTTTAAAAACACGCTTTTTTCAAATGGATAATTCTGATATGATATCAATGATAGATATCATTTTCGAAACAACACCACATTCTATCTGTGAACGATGTTGTGTGCACGACGCTTATAAGTAGGCTTTTACACGCTAATAGTCGAGAACTACAATAGACTTTTACTAACTGTATCTTCGCGCATTTAAGGAATAATTTCAGTAACTCTTTTTGTACTTACGCAATCTGATTGAGAAAAAATGGACCACCGAGATTTTTACTTCGTTAACCCGATTGCACCTAACCTCAAGGCCTTTCAGGACCTTTAATTTTATATTCGATGCGAAGCTGAGAAGGTATTAATTTTACCATGATGTGATGTTTTTTTTTTTGTCTGTTGCCACTTTTTTTTAGCTCTCACTGGACCAATTTCTTTCAACAAAAGATCACAAATCGTATCTAGTTGAAGACATTACTCTTAAAAATTTAAACATTTTCCCTCGTTCTCCGCCAATGGGGGAAATCTCCAAAAAAATTACAAATTTAAAAATCGGAAAATTTTGCTATTTTTTTCACTTTTGTTTCTTAAAACTTCCATAACTTTTTCAAAAATCAACAAATCAACATCATTTTTTTTTATAATAAAACCTTAGATATTTCCCTTTCATTTAATATCACTTTTTTTTTTGAAAATCNAAAACCTTAGATATTTCCCTTTCATTTAATATCATTTTTTTTTTTGAAAATCTAACACTTATTCTGCTCACATGGGGGATTTAAAATAGCAACTTTTTTACAAAAACTAAATTTTTCAACTTAATTTTTGAAAATGTTCCGGAAATACTGCGTCCTTTAAACATATATCAAATTAAAGCTTATGTCATGTACTATAAAATGAAAACCAAAAATAAAACCCTACACCTTATCTACTATGTGCAAATTGCTGTCAAAATTTAAAAAATGTAATATTTGCGATAAAAATCATCTTCTATCGGGATGTTTTTTGTACTTACAACTGCCATAACTTTTTCAAATATTAACAAATCAAAATAGTATTTTTTTATTTTGAAACCTTAGGTAATTTCCTTTCGTTTGATATCATTTTTTTTTTTTGAAAATCTAACACTTACTCTGCTCACAGGGGGGATTTAAAATAGTAACTTTTTTACAAAAACTAACTTTTTCAACTTAATTTTTGAAAATGTTCCGGAAATACTGCGTCGTTTAAACATTTATCAAATTAAAGCTTATTTTATGTACTATAAAATGAAAAAAAAAATTTGTCCCGACCACCTATCTTCTATGCGCAAATGGCTACCGTATTTAATAATATGCTATTTTTGTGTTAAAATCCTGGATTTGTATTTTATTTTATTTTAAAATATATTATAAGGGAAATACACTGACTGTCATGAATATTATATAATTTAATTGACATAGAATAAAGTTCATAAGACATAAGAAATTAAACTTAATTTAAATTTTTTGCTTTTTTAAAGTCGAAAAAGTAACTTAAATTTGACTTAGCTTAAATTCCTAATTTTATCATGCGACGAACAGTTGCCGATTCGGTAAGACTTGTGTCTTTCACGCTAAGGGTACGAGGTTCGAATCCGCCTGTGGCAAATAATAATTTGCATTTTTTTTTTTTTGAAAAAAATATATTTGAATGGGCTAGCGAATGGTTTCAAAAAATATTCGATTAGTTCTAATTAAAATTTTTATGAAGTACAATTAATTATAATAAGAAGATAATTAACGAATACTTAAAATAAATTATTATACAATTAATAACAGTAAAAAGTACCATTTTATTTATTTTTAGTTTGTGAGTCGTTGGTAAAAACTGATAAATATGGGTTGAAAATTAAAAAGCAGTTCTTTTTTCCGATGACTAATGATATATTTTCAGTTTTATCGGAAAGGTTTGTTTTATGAGCAACAGAACTATTCGTAAATACTAAAGTCTTATTAAATTCATTTTTTGAATATAAATCATTCTTAATTTTCGAAATAATCATTTTACAACAAAATGTTTCGTAAAAAAAAATATGTTAAGTTAAATTTTCTAAAATATTGGTCTTATATAAAATTATAGTTAGATTAATAGTTTTGCTGTTTTAATAACACTAACGATCTAAATAGGATTGTTTTAAAACTGTTTATTCAGGGTACTAAGATTATAAATAGGATACAATTAATAATAAAAAAAATTAGTGATGAGCATTTTCAAATATTTTAAACTATTGATTAATTATTCGAACTGTTTTTATACCACCTACTATTTTATTTTATTTTATTTTATCTTAACAATATCATTTTTTCTATTTAATGATGTAAATTTCAAATTTGCAAATTGAGCTAAAAGTTATGGTAAAAAATTCATTTTTTTTTTATCATAAACTTTCACTTTAAAGGACAAAAAAAAGTAGGTTGTAAATTATTTCTTTTGATATATTAAAAATCAATAATAATTTGAAAACAATTAATTATAAAAATTATATAATATATAAGTAAAAGAATTACTAATCTGGATATAATTAAGGAAATAGAAGTTGATGTTGCTTTTGTAATTATCCAACAATTTCTTAGAATTAAACACTATCTACAGATTTACATCGAAGCTTTTCTTATGATAGTGATTTTAATCACTGTCAGATTAAATCTATACTGGACCCAACTATGCCACGTCCCCACTGTGTTGGGTTTAATTTAATTGACAGAATAAAGTTCATAAGACATAAGAAATTAAACTTCTTTAAATTTTTTTTTTCTTTTTTGCTCATCAATTTTTTCAAGAAAAACTGTGTGTCGTATTAGCGTAAATATTTTACTTATTGTTTTGTGACTGATATATTGTTTATAGTTGTTTTATCATAGTATTAGAACTATCTAGAAGTTACTACACCTATCATATAATGTAGGCTCATATATTTACGAGGAGCCCACGGAGATTTTCTCGGTAGTTCGTCTAGCCTATCAGTTCACGTATATTTACCATTCCATATGTTTCTCTTCATTTTTAAATTTTATACTCAGTGAACAATGTTTACTGGACGTACCTGAACTTAAATAAACACAATATTTAATAACTCATCGTTCGTAATTTACAACTATAAAAAAAATGATTAAAATGACTGTTATTTAAAAGTTATTTTATCAAAAAAAAAAAAACCAAATAAAAGGGGTATATCTAAAATATAAATGAAAAATGTGTTTGATCTATTTATTTTTTAAAAAGTTATGGCTATTTTTATCAAAAAGTATGAAAAATGTTGAAATTTGTCGATTTCAAAAGTCATAAATTTTTTGAGATTTGTTCAATTTTCGAGGAACGGGGTAAATTTTTTCAATTTTCGAGAGCAATGTATTCAACAAAATTCGATTTGTAATCTTTTGACATATTGTTCATTAAAATCGGTCCAGTAAACAGCTGAGAAAAGTTGGCGACATACACAAAAAAAACCTTATCATAGTAAAATTAATTTCTTCTCAGTTTTGCATCGAAGCTAAAAAATCTTGAATATATTAAAAATGAGCACAGGAACAGCGATAAAAAATTTTTTAGTTGGTACACTATCTAATATTTCCCTATCAATGAAGAATCGTCTATTTGCCCTTTTATGGGATTGAATTACAGGGATCGCTATTACATCAATAAATAATATAAGTATATTATTTATTGATGTAATTATTGTTACTTTGAATTTTTCTTATATCTTTTTAGAACTAATTGACGGGTAATTTTTTTTATTAGAAAATATTTTTTTATTATTTTTATTACCCATTTAAAAAAATCAAGTACAACACCCCATACTTTAATAATAATTTTAACCAAAATGCTTGAAAATATTTCGTACAATTCGAGACAAGCAGTGCTACAGTAGATACGACAAAATTAGTTTTTGCTTAATTCACTTTAACCACATAAAGCATAGTTGGGGATACATTTATGATTTTTATCAAATCAAAGGACTTGACATAATATCTTTATTCACTAATAATAGGAGAAAAGCAGATATTACATTGTCATCAGGAACGATGTTTAATAAAAATTCTGAAAAGTAATAACAATTCAAACATTGAGTGCCGGCATAATAAAATTGGTCCGCACGTGTTAGCGAAATTATTTAAAAAAATATTGATAACGTTTGCGGCGAAATATCGAGCCACACCGCACCATCTACTGTTAATATTTTAAAAATATAATCGATAGGAGCAGCACTAGTCGACAAAAAAATCTACAAAAGTGTCCTAAAACATATCTTAAAAGAATGCATTTTACTCACTCTGTATGACATTTAGAGCTTTAACACCTATTACAAAATTAAAAGAGGACAATATTTCGAAAACAATCTCATAGCCATTTTGGGATTAACTTAATATTAAGCTTGATAATTGAATTTGAAAATGTACTTTTTTAATAAATATCAATCTATTATAACTCTTTACTAATACAATATATCCAAAAACGCATATGAGATCATCTCCAAAATATTGTTCTTTCGTTTTTATAATGGGTGTTATTGCTCTAAGTGCAGTACTTGTAAAATGCATTTTAAAAAGACATGTTTTTACGCTCTAAAATTGGCTCTATAACGTCCTCTTAAGGATTGAGTCACTTTGCTTCGAAATATTAAATTTTTTTAAAATATTAAGATATTAAGATATTAACTAGATAATAACTTATGATAACAGCTGAAACTATTTTCTTTTAAGTCAAAGATCATTAGTTCATTTATCATTATACATTGGGTACAAAAAATTTGTATTCTACGTATACGAACTGATCATGTTTGACCTAAAATATAATGGCTTCAGCTATTATCATAAGTTAGTAATCTAGTTTATTATCTGTATCTGTGGTAAATCCATAATAGGAAAATATGAGTATTTTTTTTTTAAGTTCGTAACTGAAGTTAGGGACATTTTGAGTTAATTTTTTACTAAAAAAATTATATTAATCATAGCTAACATCAACTTTACATTTGTAAACATTCAAAATGGCGCAATAAACAAATAGACTGTATCGATAAGATTTTTTAACCGCCGGAATTTCGGTAATATTTTTGTAAAAAGTAATAATTAGTATTTTTTAGAGAATGAGTAATGTATTTTTGTAATGTGTTATGCAATGAATGTTAATCTATGATATGTGTTTAAAAAACACTTATTTGTCAAATAAAATGTGTATTATTTTTGTGTGCTATTTTCAATAACTTGGAATATTTGAATTCAAAATGAAACTTTGGTATTACCTATTATGGATTACGGTTTTTTCAAGCATAAAAACAATCTGCAGTTCAATTAATATTGATGTTACTGGTATGTTTTATGTTTTTAAAAAAATATTTTAAATATCCTGTATTACAAAAAACATTTATATGAAAATATTTGGAAAATTTTGCATAGAACTTATGGTACTATTTAAAAATCAATACAAATAATTAGAGTATAATTGTTTTTCATACAAATATATTCATTTATAGTTGTATTTAATTTAATTTACTTATTGTTAATTTTGTATTCATAGTTCTAGTTAAAAATTTCTTAAATTTTTAAATATTAAAAATTTTTTGTAAGTATTCTAAAATTGGATTGGCAAAGAAAATATTCCCTCAAAAAATTGGTAGACCTTTCTGTGTTCAACTAAATTTTACGTAATCCACGAAAAATTCTAATCTAGTCTTTTGATAAAATTTCATCGGTAAAGAAAAATTTGATCTTAAAAATGTCATTTACTCTAAAACAGTATTTTTTATATCAATCTTTTTGAAAATAAGCATTATAGAAGTACTATAGTTTCTTTCAGAAGTTGAGTTTTAAGTGCTTATTGATAAAAATGCATGTTTTCAGATAAAAACTTAACCTACTTTTTATTTAAAATTGCTTATACTTAAATTTAAGATCTAATTGAATATTTTTCTTTAGGAGAATCATCTTATATGTGCCAAAAAAATCAATTTAAATGTGGTTCTGGTGAATGTATACCTTTGAAATGGAAATGTGATTTCAGTCCCGACTGTTCTGATGGTTCTGATGAATATAGTTTTTGTGGTATAGTGAATAATTTGTAATTATTTAAAAACTAAAAGTAAAAAAAAAATTAAATTGAGTAAACTTAAATTGTCATTATTAGTTTAATATTAAATTTTAATGATTATAATTGATCAATATTAATTTAAAGTGGTATTTATCTATTATATGTCTTTTTAAACAATATGTTTAAATTTTTTTGTTCTTATGACTAATTTTAAAATTTAGTAATGAGCATTTTCAAATATTCTAAACTATTATATAGAATTCAATTTTTCTATAAATTTATTAATTTTATTGAATAATTCAGATATTGGACTACAATTAAGTAGTTTGATAGTAACTAATCTATATTTTTCATAATTAGTAAAAGTCTTATTTTATATTTTAAATATATTATAGTAATAATTAATTTTTTTATTAGGTACTCCAATTTGTAAACATAATCAATTTCAATGTTCTTTGTCTGAAAAGTGTATTCCACGAGAATGGATATGTGATGGTGAATTTGACTGTGGAATGGCTTTGAATTCAACAACAGATTTAGATAAATCAGATGAAGATTCTTTGTATTGTAATATTTCAACTTAATTTATACGAGATGATCAGCTTTCATAAATCATTTATAGTTTACTCCCTTTTTTATTGATTCAAATTAAATTAACTAGAGAAAAAATAATAAAAATCGATGATTGAATTTTAAATAGGAAATGTCATATTTGCTTGTAGTTATAAGTGTATGGTCTTTATTCAATTATGTTGATAACAAGTTAAGTGAGAAATTTACTAATTCATAATTTTCTTTCTAAATTACAAAAAGTTTGGAATTCATGACAAAAATTGTTATAAAATATGTTTAGTAAAAAAATGTTAATTATTCAAGGGAAAATTCTATCTAAGCACTTTTTAGAGAAATTTGCTTTTTACAAAGGATTTCCTGCTGTTATATGTTTAGCTTATAATGTATTTATCAGCAGATTTTTATACAATAAAACTCATTCTAATTTTCCTGTCTATTGTAAATTTACATAAATCAATGATATTACACGTTTTTCTGTAGTTATTAAATATTGTCTGTTATTTGTGTTAAAAATGACTGATTTATCAAAAGTTAAAATTCAAAGAGATATTTAAAAAAAAGAAGTAAAATGTTTGGTTATATACTATTCTTTCAACTCTACAGAAATAAAATCAATTTTGCAAATTAGAGTATCATTAATTTCAGTAATTTAAACAATCATTTAATATTATATACACAAATCTTAAAAATTGGGCCTTTAATAATTTTATTATAGCCATGTTTTTGTTTGCTAATTTTTTTAAAGACTTATAATTTTTTTCTTTTGTAAGAATTAGTGTATTATCAGCATAACAATATTCTGAGTTAAGTTGGAGTTTAAAAATTCAATAATATATGTTATAAAATGTAAAGGAATTACTAAGAACATTTTCTAATCTAATTTTGTCACAACAAAATAATAAGTTTTTATTAAATTCAATTCAATTGCTCTACTACAAAAATAAAGTTTTAGAGTAATTAATTGTGGTCAACTGAGTATCAGAAGCTTCTGTCAATCTAAAAGAATACCAACTATTTTTTCTTTCATATCTAAATTTATATGCACATGAGCCAAATAGTTAGTGGCTTAGTAGTAAATTTACATTTTCTGAAACAAAATTGATTCATTAAAAAAAATTAATTTTTATCTAAAAAACTTACTCATCTATTTTTAATTTTCTAAAACTTTAGTTAATGATAAAATGAAAGCTTTAGATCTATAGTCGCCATAATTTAGTTCATCATCTGATTTGAACAAAGGATTAAAAATTGCTTGTTTAACCTACTTTGCTAAATACTATTAATAATTACTGTGTTAAATATTATACTATTTTTAAATAATTGGCATACATATGTCATCATCTTAAACATTCAATTTTAAGACAATCAGTTTTTAAAATTTCATTAATGTTTTCATTTGACATATTTGGTGTACCTTAATTGATATATTATAGCTTAATTTACACTGTTCACTTTTGTAATTTAACTCTTTTAATGTTCAAAATCTGTTTTATAATTGGAATATTTATTTTCAAGCACAATCATTTTCTTTTCTACTTATTTTATTTTTCTGAAATTTTATTTAGGTTACTGTTAAATTCATCAAACTCTCTTCACTAAGAAAATATGCCTTCTCTATGAAGCTATTATTTTTTTTATGTTTGAAATCCAAGTTCTTTCAACAAAAGTATAATTTTGTTTTTTAAAGTACTTGTATTAGATAAATCATTATTCCCTTCATTATTACATAAATTTCATCAACTTTTTCTTACTTTAACCCTTATTTTATTATTTAATAATATAATTCAAAAATAATTATTGCATTCTCATTTAATTTTTTGATCTAAGGAATTATAGTTGCCAGCACATTTAACATGAAAGTATTTGATACATTTATAACAAACTGTTTTTTTGTCAGTGAAACCAATGTATTACAATCATCACAATGCATTATAAGTTTATGACTTATTAATTTTACTGATAATTTAATAACTGCTCTACTTTACAACCATAAACTTATAGACATGAATATATGATAAGAACTGAAATATTTCATTGAACTAAAATATTAATAACTAAAAAAATAATTACAATATTTGATGAACTTAGTAAATTTAAAATTATTAGTATTATAATTATTGTTATTCTTTACATTGAAGGTCAGAAACCAGGAAGTTGCCCTCCTAATATGGCGCGGTGTGGTAATTCTTCAAAATGTGAATACATCGAAGTATTTTGTGATGGTACTACTCATTGTGAAAATAGTACAGATGAAGGCACATTTTGTGGTAAATTTATAAAAAGTGTATTTAATTTTTTTTAATACTTGTTATAATTATTGATTATTTTTCACACTGTTAAAATAGCAATATTTTCCTCATGAGCACCATAGCCTAATAACCTAATTGTATATTTTTCTGTAAATTGTGCATGGTAGTCTAATAGTAAGGTTCACTGAAAGACACTCTAGATTGTACTTGCTAATTTTGTAATATACTTATTTTATTCACATCATATATAATACAGTTCAAAGACTAGTCATCATTCCATGATAGCATTGTGAATTTTTAAATTAGTAAATTTTATTTATATACAATGCATAACTCGAGTGACATTTAAGAAAAAAAATGAAATAAGTGCAAAATTAATAAGTATAATAAATACTGTTTCTATTGGATTTAAAATCATTGTGAATATTTTTCATCTGATAACTATTTATCATTCATTTCTTAAACAAAATTCAAAATTTAAAGTATGTTTAAAATATATTATTTTAAAACTAAAAGGTATTAAACCAAACACATTGAAAATATAGTATAAAATTTCTATACTCAATTATCTTAGAACCATTGTTTTATTATTTTGATTCCTTTAAGGAATTATATATAGATGATCATATTATAGGATCTATATTTATGTTAAATATATATAATATTAATGAATTATAGTTATAATTATTATTTTTATTTTATTCTAGAAAATATGGTTCCATGTCATGGTTTAAATTGTACACATGGATGTAAACCAACTGGAAAAGGTCCTGCTTGTTTTTGTCCAGAAGGAATGAAACCTCATAAAAATGAATGTTTAGGTAAAATTTTTCATTCAAATACAATATAATTGGTGCTCTTCACAATTGGAGCATATAATTCAAAGTTTTTGTATTTTTTTTCTTATTACTCTAAAGATTACTTATTAAATACAAAATTAGATATTTTTAATAAAATCCATTTATATTTATTTATGATGTTCACAAATAAATGCGCTTTTGGTATTCTTGAGTCATTTTAACAGCATTTTCATTCAATTATTTGGTTAAATGCATTTTTGACACTTCTTCACATTTACAATTTTATTATTAATATAACAATATTAAATTTTTTTAAAGATATGGATGAATGTGAAGTTTTGGATTATTCCTGTGATCAAACATGTACAAATATTAAAGGGTCCTATAGTTGTAGTTGTGTACCAGGTTATATTCAGAAAAATTCAAATTGCAAAGCAATAAATGGTATATATATATATATAAAAAATTTTATTTTTAAGTTAATGTTTTCACTTAGTTCCAGAATCTGAACCACCTACTATATTCGTTAGTACTTCTAAAGATATAAGACGAATGTATCTAAATGGAACTTCCTATACTGGTTCAAAATGTGATGTTCAAGCATTATCATTCACATTTGACCATAGAAATCAATCAATTTGTTTTATTCATCAGTATAATAAAACAATAGCAAAACTTAGTTGTGCAAAAATTACAAATATTTCTGAGTTTTGGGATTTACCTTCACCGAATATTTATCATTTGTTAGGTTTGTTTAAGTTTTAAAAAAATTGTGTGGTTATTCTAAATTAATTCTTATTATGAAACAATTTTTTAGCAACAACACATGTAGCACTAGATTGGGTATCAGGTAATTGGTATTATGTTGATGATGATCGAGATATGATTTACATGTGTACTTCTACTATGCAGTATTGCAATATTCTGATCAATATTAATTTAAATAGACCAAGGAGTATTGCACTTGATCCTACAAAAGGGTAAGAATGTTATAAAAAATAAAAATAAGTAAAGTATTATAAAATGGAAAGCAGCAAATTTGAAATTGATTAAATTTGATGAATAACATCTTTTTCATTATTTTAGTTAGCATTACTTGCATAAGCTTTTATTGATATAAAAAGCTTTAACACTTATAAATTCAGCTTCTAAATGTAACATTAATTTCAGACTATTTTTAATTATATGACAACTTAAATAAGGGCTACTAAAATTAGTCTAAGAATAAAAGTAATAGTAATCTGTTTTTTATTGGTTTCTTTAATTATTGGTTTTCTCAATGTATCAGTTAACATTATTTATTTATTTATTTAATAAACTGTGATCTAATTAAGAAAAATGAATGGTCAATAACAACTTTTGGATTAGTATTTTGACGAGAGGAATAGAACGTTCGGGAAATTTATAATAATAAAGCAGCACCTCCAGTCATAATTTTAAATTGATAATAATTTCTAAACTACTGGTCTAAAAGTTGTTATAAACCAGTTATTTTATTAATGAGATCATTATGCACTAAGTTATTTATTTAATTATATATGTTGTGATTTGAGATATTAATGTTGACTATCTTATAACAAGGAATGATCATGAAAAAACTTTATGATTAAAAAATTGCGAGAATCATTAAACTAAAAGAAACAAAAAAAAACCTAGCACCATGGAGACGTATCATAGTTGGGTCCAGTATAGATGATATCTGACAGTGATTAAAATCACTATCATAAAAAACACTGATGTAAATCTTTAGATAGTCTTTAATTTAAAAAAAATGGTGGATTGTTCAAAAAGTAAAATGATCTCTTATTTCCTTATTTATAACCTGATTACAAGTTTTATGATTTTTAAGTGTAATATATGAATAAGTATAGCAATTAAATATAGTATGACATTAATAATTAATAATTTAATATTGTAATATTGTAATTTTTTACAAAAATCATATATCTTTTATTAACTTTGATGTTTTGTTTTCACCATATCTTTAATATACTCTATTAAAATTTCATTAGAATTAGTGCTTTTATAAAAAAAAATACCCAGCACAGTGGAGACGTGGTAGAGTTGGGTCCAGTATTGATGATATCTGAAAGTGATTAAAATCATTATCACAAAAAACACTTTGCATCAAATCTTTAGATAGTCTTTAATTTTAAGAATTCGGTTAATAATTCTAAAAGCAATATTAACTCCTATTTGTATCATTATTCCTAATTAGTGGTTGATTTATAAGTATAATTTATGAATAAATATCTATTAAATATGAAATTAATATTTAATAATTTAGTATTGTAATTTTTTTTCGGAGAATTTATAAATATTATAAAGTAGTTATTATTTTTAACGCAAACATGTATTAAATTGAAGGGCTTGACACAGAAGTTTTGATATAATATTAGTTGAAAAAACTATATTGCTTTTCTTATAACTTGTATAAGCTCAAAAAACTTTGAACTTTGCCATAAAATAGGCTTAACTATCTTTATTCTCATTAGTCTATATATTGATATAACTCTTACTGGTGGTATTGTTTTGAATTCCCAATTAAAATGATATGTATAACTCCAAAATCTTTATTATAATTTTGAGTTATGTGCTTGTAAAGTATGACTATCTTGGACAAAATTCTGTACTAACCCTCTGTGAAAATTTAAATCCTTATTCTCATTAAGTCGAACAAATTTATTTTCAGCCAGTATATCTTTATTTTCACTTTTGAAAGTTATTTGTAACAGCACTATTTCTCTCATAATATCATAGAAGTTTTCAGCTAAGTCGTAATTTAAATATCTAATTACTCTAGGTCTTTCCCTTTTTGGTTTTTGAAATAATTTGTCACAAACTGCGCTAATGTAATCTCATTTATGTTAAAAGAATTTTATTGAATGAATTTTATTTTATTTACATATTTCTGTATAATTGTTAACAGTATCATCTAAATCTTTTAATGGTTTTCCTATTTTTTGTTGTTTATTTAAATATAGAGTTGGTATTTAAATTGTTACTATATAAGACTTAGTTATTAGTTCTTGTAGATAACACCATGCGGCTTCTTGTGCTGATATTTCAACAGCATGTAGCATGTAAATACTTATTTTTATTTTTATTTCAATAAAATCAAACCTTGGATTTTTATCAATAACTTCAATCATTTTTCGTTGTAAATTGTTAATAACTCAATGGATTTATTAACATATTTAACGATATAAGCAGCACAAACATGTTTATCTTGACTTGTTTGGTAATCCATGTTAGACTTGAAGATGTAAGATCAAAATCAGTGAAATTGTAATTTTCCAGGTTGTTTCTTAGTGATTGGTAATGTTTTCTGTAATTTTGTAAATTGTCTTCAGAAAAATTTTCATCCATATTTTTCAAGGGATTTTTATAAAGTCAAATTTTTTGAGTAGCATTAATAAAGGTTTACCAAATCGGCAACTAACTTTTATCAATGAATCAATTTTCTTATAATAAGTAAAAGTGTCTATGTTTTTGTAACAAATATTTCTTGGTACTTCAAAATTCTATACAGAAACTATACAATCGACCATTTGAATGATGTTACTGTTATTGCACAATAATTTTTCTGTCATTATCAAATCACAAAAGATTATGACCATGTAAACTATCTAAATGTTGGAATTCAATTCGTTTTAAATAATGATTTACTCCATATCTATCAAATGGACTCTATTTCATAAATTGTGAAATATTTAACAAATAATTAACTAATTTGTTAAAACATATAGCATATATTGCAACGTCCATATTGACTAATTTAATTTTATGTACATAACTCAATTTAATATTGAGTTTTCTAAAATAAATGCTCCTATGTTTTTCAACTTGTATAATAAATGGCCCATTTCTATCCATCTAGTTTTATTAGCACTAAGAGTCATAAACGCAGTTGGTAATTTATTTAAAAAGATTTTTTATCAACCTGACCAATACTGAGCTAAATTTGGTATATACCGAAAAAATATTTAAGATTGGTTTCAATGTAACTGTTAATTATTTTTTATTTATTCTTTGGTAAAATTTGTGTTATTTTCAACTTGTTTGAAATCAATAGTAGTACATTATTTTACACGTTCTCTTACTATTTTTGAAGCGAAATATAAAATATGTCGTTGATATGTATTTCGTCTATTTATACATTGCAATTTACTAGTTTCTTACATAAAATATATAACCCAAATTCTTTTTATATTCTTTCTAAATTGACCAATAAATCTATAGTTTAGATAACTTTAAATCGTTGTGAAAGATAGTTCTTCGGCATAACCATCAAATACTGTACTTATTTGGATACTATTTTTATTAGGTGACAAAATTAAAAATTAATTTTCCATTTAAATTAGAGTTTATTGTAAGGTCATTCCATGTGAAATCACCTAATGTGTGTGCTGGTATAGTTCAGAAATTTATGAAATTTATATCATAGACTTCTTAAAGGTCATTGACAACAAAAATAATATATATATTTTTTTTATTATTGTTTTTTTACCAGATAGAGCATTTTTTATAATTAAAAACATGAAAAAACAGCCTATGTTTTAAAGCCTATAACTTCACATCCAAATAAGCTATCACTGAGGAACTAGCACTGTTTTACTCATATTAAATAGTACTTCAATTTCATTCTTAAGTTTATAAATTTTGAATTTTTTTGAACATCGAAATTTTGATTTAAATTTTTTAAATTTTGCAGTATTGTAATAGCAAAATTTGAATTATTACAAATATTACAATACTGAAAATTAATAAATTTCTGAACTATACTAGCATACACATTAGGTGATTTTACATGGAATGACCCTGTAGTGTTGTGACGCTATCCTCTGTAGGAAAGTGACAACAGAAATACATTAATATTGCGAGACATTTAAAAATATAAAAGCACTTTTTTAACACTGTATCAATCTACTTTGATAAGTCAGATTAACCACCAATTAAAGAAAACAAATCAATCTATTGTTACTATTTTACAAGCTATATGTTCATAAAAATAATTTTCAATAATATCAAGAAACAAGATATTACTTTATCATTACAAGTGTGAAGCCCAATAGAAATCATGCATATCAAATTTGGAAAATATTAGATTTAAAAAATAAAACTTATAAACTATTTATTATTATTATGGCTACTTTTATTTATATTACTTTTAATATTTAATATTTATAATTTTTCATACATTTTTAGTAATATAGAATTTTGTATTTGTAATATTAAAAAAGTTATCCTCAAATAATAAAATATTTGATGATTTCTATGAAATATACGAATCAATTGTTTTTATTAATTTTACAATTAACAGTCAATAATAAAAAAAATACTAAATCTTTTTCTGTTCTTAATATATTTGACTACAATAAGGATGATGTAAAAAATTTTAATAATTGTAATATTTAAAAATTTATATGTAAAAAACTACATTTCTACACCATTTTGTTAATTTTAAACCTTCTCTTTACAACATGTAAAAAAGTTGATTTAGAACTCTAAATTTTACCACAAATTTCTATTTTCTGTGTAGAACAAAATAAAAATAAAACAAAACAAAATGTAAAAATAGATAATTCAAAATTAATGCAACATTGAAACAGCTATAATCAGTCTTTACAAAATTTAAATTAAATTTAAAATTCTATTTTTGACAAACTCATTCAAATCGATATCGAAAATATCAAGATATTTCAATACTATATCAATATCGAAATTGTATCGAAAAAACTGCTGAATGTTAAAAATCAACAACCATTTGATCTATATTATGTTATGTAAACAATTTAAATTGACTTTCTTAAGTATAAGAAATGAATAGCAAATTAATGAATAATTAATATACTAAGATTAATAATGTTTTATTAGTGAAAAGGGCCTTAGCTTAAATAAAGGCATTTAAGAAAAAACTTTCCAAATAGTTTTGTTATCTGTTAGCTTGTTTTAGTATTTATAACAATTTAGGTCAGTTTTTATAAAAGTAGCTTACATGTTTCAAATGGAGAATAATAAAATATATTAAATTTTTCTAAAATGTTAAATATTATAAACTGGTTATTTTGCATGAAGAGTGTAATATGTTGTAAATTAGAAATATATATATATATATATATATATATAATACATAAATCAACATTACTTTTATTTTACTAATAATTGAATTACTCTTTGTTAATTCCTTTATTTTTACTTCATAAATATATTAATTATAAAATTAATCATGGTAAAATAGTGATCAGTGAATAAGTATAAAATCTAAGATTCACTTTCAGAATTTAATATCTTTGTTATTTTTTATTTGTAGATACATGTTTTTTACAAAATGGGGACAATTTCCTGCTATGGTTGAAAGAGCTTATTTGAATGGTCAAGGAAGACAGTCATTGGTGGATCATAAAGTAGTATATCCATATGGGTTAACTGTAGATATTCCATCAGAACATGTATACTGGGTGGATACTTATTTAGATTTTGTTGACAGAATTAACTATGATGGTACTAACAGAAAGACTATACAAAAAGGATTTCCTGTAAAAATTATTTAGCTATTTCAATAACCATTAACCAATTTGTTGACATTTTTTATTTATTTAGGTTATTAATTTATATGATATATCTGTATTTGAAAACTACTTATATGTAACATCGTGGAGGTTACAAGGTGTTATAAAATTAAACAAATTTAATAGCAGTAGCTATGAATCATTAGTTACCAATTCTAGTCGTCCTTTTACTATTCATGTGTATCATAGACAAACTCAACCAGAAAGTATTTATATTAATATTTGATTTATTTTTATTTAATTAACATCATTTTTTTATTTAGTGATTCATCCTTGTATGAATGATAACGGTGGCTGTGATCATATTTGTATAACAGCATATAAAGATAAAAAACCTATTGCTCATTGTTTATGTCAACCAGGTTTCCAACAAATATCTGGAAAGTGTATTTGTATGTATTTCATTAATATAGATAGATTAATTTTTTTTGGCGTTTCATTAAAAATGATGTGCTTTATTTTAGCTTTTAAATTATCAGCTTTTTTAATTTTTGGAAAAAGTAATCCTCCTATGATAAAAGGCATTTCAATGAACCCCCAAAAATATCAAGCACAAATAATCTTACCATTAATAGAAGGTCGAATGCCAACTTCAATAGACTATGATGTGAAGACAAAATCAATTTATTACTCTGGTGGAAAAAATAATGGTATTGAACGAATTAAATTGAATGGTACAAAAAGTGAATCTATTAAGAAATTACCAGATATGAATTGTGAAGGATTAGCTATTGATTGGATAGGTCGAAATTTATTTTGGGTTGATGAAAGCTTAGGTACTGTTAACATTTTCAAATTAGATGATCCTTCTAAACAAAGAATTTTAGTATCTAATAAGTTATATCACCCAAGATCAATTGTTCTAGATCCTAAAAATGGGTAATATATAATTTTTACTTTATAAGTGTATTATAATATTTAAGGTAAAATTATTTTTAGATTTATGTATTGGGGCAATTGGCCTCAAAGCCAATCTAAAGAAGGTAGTATTGAAAGAGCTTGGATGGATGGTAGTAATCAAATTAATTTTGTAAAAACTAATGTTCATTGGCCTATGGCATTAACATTAGACCTTTTTACTAGAAGATTGTATTGGTCAGATATTTATTATAATAAAATAGAATATATTGATTTTGATGGAATCAACAGAGTATTAGTACAAAAGTTAACTTCTTATTCTTATGGTGTTGCATTTTATAATAATCTACTATTTTGGACTGAAACTGATACCATGAAAGTTTTAATTAAAAGTTATAATTTAACTAATAAAACTTATGAAACTTATGAAGTTGAAAATCCACAAATACTCTCGTTGAAAGTTTATGACAGTGAAACTCAAGGTAATAAATATTAAATGATAAAATGGTTGTATAATGTGATAATAAAAATCAGTACAGCTGTATTGGGGGATGTGGCACAGTGGGAATATAGCATAGTTGTGACAAGTATATATATATAATTTTTCACAAACGACATAATTAAGATTACCTGTGACTGCCGTCAGGTATTACTTTAGGATGGCCATGCTGTTTTTATAACTGACAACGTTGTGTTTGAATCAGCCTGAAATTAATCACATCTCGGCGAGGTCACCCCTGTTAGCTAGCCCCAATATTCAGGTTCATTGCCTGGGCTGTACCTGTAGAGGTGGAGGTAAGATTTTCAAAATTTCGATGCTTAAAAAGTCTCAAACATATAAAACACACTACTCTAAGGTGCAACTACCTCCTCAGATCTTGCTGAGCCGGAATGTGCGGTTGCTTATCATAGGCATTCAGCGAATTCTCTGCAGTACATGACAGCTAGCTTCAATGAATGCCTGGATGAGAGACATAACTTCCGGTTATCTAACATCAGGTCCACCATGGACCTGATATAAAACGTGGACTCTAGTTGGGACTCCAAAGAGTCCTCGTACTGAAAGACTGTTTGCAACACGTTTTATTATTCTCTAGAGTGATCTGAACAGTGATTGCACGTCATTACCGCTGCCTTACAAATACATTAAGATACTCGTTATAATAGTAATAAGAGTAGTTATCTGTTTGTGATTAACATCACTATCATAAAAAAAGACTTAATGCAAATCTGTTAAATTTTTCTTTAGCTTGTATATTTGTAATTTTACTACAGAATAGCTGAATGGAAAAAAGTAACAGTTACCCAAACTTTTAATAGTTGATTGTTTCCTTTTTTTACTCAACCATTTAAATGCTATGTTTCTAAATTTCACTGAAATATTAAGCTTGTTAGATTATTTGTATTATCACCCAATAAGCATTGGAAAATGTGTGTAATCGTATAGCCAAGACTTTTATACCAAGCAATTAATTACTATATGGGAATAAGAAGTAGATAAAACCCATATATTGTCGTTGTTTTTCTAAATTCTATTAACAATATAAATATGTTTTTTTTTTTAATTGCAATGTTTTTATTTTAATCATCAATTTCTTACTGAAGAACAATCATAGAATAAATTTTTTTTTTAAATAATGTAGTGTATTTCCAAGTTATTAATTTGATATAAGTTAGAAGTTGTCAGACCTTCCTGAGCATTTTCAAGAATCAAGTTAAAAAAACATTTTTATTCACGTGTAAGTGATTTCTTTCAAACTCTTTCTGTACCCAATTTTATCATTGGATCAATATAAAAAGCATACCAAAAAGAAGTTTATTATCTTTAATATACCCTATTAAAATTTTATTAGAAATTTATTTATAAAAAAAAAAAAAACCCAGCACAGTGGGGACGTGGTATAGTTGTGTCCAGATTAGATGATATCTGACAGTGATTAAAATCTCTATCATAAAAAACACTTTGCATCAAATCTATAGATAGTCTTTAATTTTAAGAATTCGGTTAATAATTCTAAAAGCAATATTAACTCCTATTTGTATCATTATTCCTAATTAGTGGTTGATTTATAAGTATAATTTATGAATAAATTACTATTAGAGCAATTCCACGTAGTTTGAAATTGATATTTAATAATTTAGTATTGTAATTTTTTTTCGGAGAATTTATAAATATTATAAAGTAGTTATTATTTTTAACGCAAACATGTATTAAATTGAAGGGCATGACACAGAACTTTTTAAATAATAATTTATTGTTAATCATGCATAAATGGTCTGCAAAACATTTTCATCAGAGTAAAAAATATACTTTTGTTATTAAATTTTTCATGCTAATTTTAAATCAACAATTATGTTTTCCATCACCAATAATTTTTGATATTATTACTAGTTAGTTAAAAGCTATAGGATATAACTATAAGGAAAATAGTTCTGAATATTTCAATTGTATAATCTATTTAAACACTAAGAGTTGCATAGAAATTATTAATATTTCTTTTGATATGATTTATTACGATAAAAAATAATTAATAACACAACAAAATTGTTTTCAAAAAATCATTTTAACCCATTTTTTTGTGTTTTAAAGTTGATTTTTTGAGATTTTATAATAAAAGAAAGTTGAATTTGTTACTATAACTTTTAGCTCAACTTTAAGTTTGAAATTTATATTATTAAATAAAAAAATAGTATTCTAAGATTAATATGTAATCAGGAAATTGTGTAATAACTATTGACTGTAAATTTATCAGAGAAGCTCAATATTTTTTTTTCATTTTTATTGTAATAGATCACTTAAATAGAAATCATAATAATCATTTCTAAGTACTTTTTGGGGATTAAAAATATTCTACTATTAAAATATTTGGTGCATAATTAATTTTAATGATTTACTTTAACAAAAAAAACCAATTAAAATGTTGTTAAAATTATCTACTCAATTGAGTGTATTATAAAATTTGATTATAATTGTAAAATTTTTTTTGTTAAATTCAGGTAAAAATAAGTCATTTTTTTTAGATTTATGATTTATATAGGAAGACCAAAAAAGAGATGGAGGGATGCAATTGAATGCGATATGAAGACAGCTGATGTGAGTGTAGATGTTGTGGGAGATTGTGTCAAGTGGAAGTTTAGGATAAGGGTGGCCGACTCCAAGTAGTTGGGATTAAGGGGAAAAAGAAGAAGAAGATGATTTATATAGCAACATATTACCAAAAAATGATAGGTAATCTCATGTATCATTGAAAAAAAAATTATATTGATTTGGTCTTTTTAAAAAAAATTATGGCATTTTGAAGTTAAAAATATAAAAAGAATTCTTCTACAAAAATTATATTTTTTTTATTAACTTTGAATTCAGTTTTTATTATGTAAACAAAATAAAGTTCAAAATTTTTTTTTCATATTAAATTATATTACATAATCTTTAATTTAAGATATATATATATGTATAAAAGTGTCAGCATTCCCTTAACAATTTCAAAAATTATGTTGAAAAAGTTCTCCTTTCTATATGTATTTTTAAGTTTTGAACCCACCCTATATAAATGAGAAATGGTCCGATTTAAAAAAAATGTATGTCGAATGAAAGAAATATATAAATAGTATTTCTCATGAAAAAGTTGTATTGATCTATACTTTTTTAAAAAAGACAAAAAAAAAACACATCATATTAAAATTAATACTTTGCATCGAATGCTAAAAGTTATAGCAGTTTCAAAATACATAAATGCTGAAACTTTTATATATATTTTAAATTAAAGATTATGTAATATACTTTACTATAAAGTTGAGCAGAGAATGTGAGTGTAGCAGAGATGAAAATGTTTAGATGAATGAGTGGAGTGACTATAGAAGATAGGATAAGGAATAAACATATAAGAGGGAGTATAGGTGTAGCGGCAATCGTGGATAAGATGAGAGAAAATAGACTTAGATGGTTTGGTCATGTTATGAGAAGTGAAGAATCGGTAGCTGTAAAAACAGTTATAGGAATGAATGTTGAATGATGAAGAGGTATAGGAAGACCAAAGAAGAGATGGAGAGATGCTATTGAATACGATTTTAGGACAGCTGATGTGAGCATAGATGATGTGGGAGATTGTGTCAAGTGGAAGTTTAGGATAAGGGTGGGCGACCCCAAGTAGTTGGGATTAAGGCGAGGAAGAAGAAGATGAATATACTTTAATATGAAAAAAAAATTGAACTTAGTTTAAGTTGAACTTTATTTTGTTTACATGCTGAAAACGGACTTCAAAGTTAATAAATATGATTTTGTAAAAAAATTCTTTTTTATATTTTTAACTTTATAATGCCATAGTTTTTTTGAAAAAGACCATGTTAATGTAATTTTTTTTTTTTTGATAATACATGAGATAATTACTTATCATTTTGTATCTTCTTCTTTCTCGCCTTAATCCCAACTACTTGGGGTCAGCCACTCTTATCCTAAATTTCCACTTGACACAAATTTAATAACAAAAGTATATTTTTTACTCTGATTAAAATGTTTTGGAGACCATTTATGCATGATTAACAATAAATTATTATTTAAAAAGTTCTGTGTCATGCCCTTCAATTTAATACATGTTTGCGTTAAAAATAATAACTACTTTATAATATTCATAAATTCTCCGAAAAAAAATTACAATACTAAATTATTAAATATCAATTTCAAACTACGTGGAATTGCTCTAATAGTAATTTTTTCATAAATTATACTTATAAATCAACCACTAATTAGGAATAATGATACAAATAGGAGTTAATATTGCTTTTAGAATTATTAACCGAATTCTTAAAATTAAAGACTATCTAAAGATTTGATGCAAATTGTTTTTTGTGATAATGATTTTAATCACTTTCAGATATCATCAATACTGGACCCAACTCTACCACGTCTCCACTGTGCTGGGTATTTTTTTTTATAAAAGCACTAATTCTAATGAAATTTTAATAGAGTATATTAAAGATATGGTGAAAACAAAACATCAAAGTTAATAAAAGATATATGATTTTTGTAAAAAATTACAATATTACAATATTAAATTATTAATTATTAATGTCATACTATATTTAATTGCTATACTTATTCATATATTACACTTAAAAATCATAAAACTTGTAATCAGGTTATAAATAAGGAAATAAGAGATCATTTTACTTTTTGAACAATCCACCATTTTTTTTAAATTAAAGACTATCTAAAGATTTACATCAGTGTTTTTTATGATAGTGATTTTAATCACTGTCAGATATCATCTATACTGGACCCAACTATGATACGTCTCCATGGTGCTAGGTTTTTTTTTGTTTCTTTTAGTTTAATGATTCTCGCAATTTTTTAATCATAAAGTTTTTTCATGATCATTCCTTGTTATAAGATAGTCAACATTAATATCTCAAATCACAACATATATAATTAAATAAATAACTTAGTGCATAATGATCTCATTAATAAAATAACTGGTTTATAACAACTTTTAGACCAGTAGTTTAGAAATTATTATCAATTTAAAATTATGACTGGAGGTGCTGCTTTATTATTATAAATTTCCCGAACGTTCTATTCCTCTCGTCAAAATACTAATCCAAAAGTTGTTATTGACCATTCATTTTTCTTAATTAGATCACAGTTTATTAAATAAATAAATAAATAATGTTAACTGATACATTGAGAAAACCAATAATTAAAGAAACCAATAAAAAACAGATTACTATTACTTTTATTCTTAGACTAATTTTAGTAGCCCTTATTTAAGTTGTCATATAATTAAAAATAGTCTGAAATTAATGTTACATTTAGAAGCTGAATTTATAAGTGTTAAAGCTTTTTATATCAATAAAAGCTTATGCAAGTAATGCTAACTAAAATAATGAAAAAGATGTTATTCATCAAATTTAATCAATTTCAAATTTGCTGCTTTCCATTTTATAATACTTTACTTATTTTTATTTTTTATAACATTCTTACCCTTTTGTAGGATCAAGTGCAATACTCCTTGGTCTATTTAAATTAATATTGATCAGAATATTGCAATACTGCATAGTAGAAGTACACATGTAAATCATATCTCGATCATCATCAACATAATACCAATTACCTGATACCCAATCTAGTGCTACATGTGTTGTTGCTAAAAAATTGTTTCATAATAAGAATTAATTTAGAATAACCACACAATTTTTTTAAAACTTAAACAAACCTAACAAATGATAAATATTCGGTGAAGGTAAATCCCAAAACTCAGAAATATTTGTAATTTTTGCACAACTAAGTTTTGCTATTGTTTTATTATACTGATGAATAAAACAAATTGATTGATTTCTATGGTCAAATGTGAATGATAATGCTTGAACATCACATTTTAACATCACATGAACATCAGCATATACTAATGTCAATAATTTCCAATTTTTTTATTTTTATAACAATTAAGTAAAGCTTTTAGTTTATTCACAATTGCATTGTACTTGTACTTGTCAAATAGATAGGCTGTTTGTTGCCATCATGATCTTGGCTTTCCTTTTTTTATTAGTTGTTTAAATTTCCATGGAAGATTACTTTGGAAGTAATACGAACAAGTCTTGTTAGAACCTGTTTTTGCTGGAACTTGAAAGTTTTCAGCTAGAGAAATTTTACCTTGTTTGATATCTAATGTAATATATTGATTTTAAAGACATAATATTTTTACTATTTAGACCAGTTTATTAGACCTGTCATGATTATAGATCATGGGTCAAAGTAGCTTAAGTATTTATTTGTAAAAGGATGGGTGTATGGTCTGATTCAAGGTCATTATGGCTTATTATATTTGTTTTAAATCGATTTAGTAGATTGATGAAGAAAAGTATTATATTAGAGCGACAATTTAAATGAAATATGACATTTATCTCATGATTATTAATCTACTACCTTAAGTTATGTATGTCTCGTTAAAATTGTCAACTATTAATAAAGTATAAGTTATTGAATTTTTTGTAACTTAAATTAATAATAACGAAATTATGGCCTGGTGGAAAATAAAATGATTCTAGATAATATAATAAAGATAATGGTAATGATATTGATATTTATTTTATATTAGTGTGTATAGCTTGTACAACAACCTTTTGGAATTGTTGAATTGGGTGTTTATTTTATTTTATTAGAAATAAGAATAACAGCTCCTTCATGAGAAATAACATCAAGGTGGTTTGCTCTTAAGTAGTCATATTCTAGGATTTTGAAGTTCAAATTAGTAGTTAGATGTTTTATTGGTGGAAATTTAGAACTGTGAGTTGCATTTAAATCGTTGTTGATTATTTGACTGTAATTAGTTATATGGTTTAGATTTGTATCAATGATTTTTAATTTATGGTTTTTATATTTTAATAATATTTTATGAAATGGGCAGCCTCTTTAATTTGTAAGGTGAGGGTGGTCGTCCTGACAAAGTAAGTATTTAGCAAGTAAGCAGCGGTATTTAGTACAGTTGTTTGAGTTATATTGATCACCATACCAAACAAAGTGTGAATTGGTTAAAATATTTCCTTGTATCGTTGTACAATTAACAGTTCAGACATTGGGCAATCAGTTGTTTGGAGTGTGATGTTATGAATTTGATTTTTGTGTAACATTGAAATGTTAAATTAAAGATTTTATTATTTATTGGGGCTGTCATGTTCGTTGAGAAAGAAATTAAGCACTAGTGAAACTTAATTTCAAAAACAGAAATGCAATTTTATGATTTAAATTTAAGTAATAATAAGAGAAATGTGTGCACACACATCATGTGCGGGAATTTAAATGATCATTATGTTATAAAATAAGAAAATAGTATATTTAGATGCAGTCTAACATTTATACATGTTGAATAATAAAATAATATAATTTATATTAGTCCTCTCCTCAGGAAAAATTATGTTATTGTCTTATTACATAGCCTATATAGTGAAAATGAATGCTTAAGTTTCATTGAAATTGTTTAAAATTGAATGAGTAAATCTAATTCCATGTTAAGTAACTTTTGGATCAGTATTTTGGAAGTTATTGACATATTTATATATAGGTGAGAGGAAGAATACAGCTAGGGAATATCTAGTTATAAAAGTAGCAACATCCATTCTTCATCTCCAGTTAAAACTTTAAATTATTAATTTACGGTGGCAACCAGTTTTGTTTTATGTTTGTTATTTATTAGTAGACATTGTAAATGTGAACTACATTTTGTTAATATATATTGTGATATTTGTTTAAGATAACATAATATTGTAGTATTTAATAGTAAAGCAGGTCGATTTTTATTTATCCTAGTTTTAGGTTTGTCTTTTCTTTGAAAAAATTGAAATAATATTACTGTTCTTAAGTAAAAATAATCTTAACTAAGAGTTAAGTATTATTTAATTTAATAATTTTAATGTTCATTTATTTTATTTTATTTTTTTGGTAATTTTATGTTTTTAATTTGTTACATATTTATTTTATACTAAAAAACTGAAATTTTAGTACCAGAAATTATAATATTTTTTTTGTATTTACAGTGAAAACATCTACAAACTGGTGTGAAAATGAAGATCTTTGTTCTGGAATGTGTATTATTACCCCAAATGGACCCATTTGTTTGTGCAATGATGGTTATATCTTAAAAACAAGTGCTGATAAAAAACAAGAATGTGTAAAATCTAGCAACTATTCTGAAATTGATAATTGTGGGTTAGATGATTTTCATTGTTTTGTAAACAAACAGTGTATACCAAAAAAATTATTGTGTAATGGAGATAATGATTGTGGTGATGGTTCGGATGAAGATTACATTAATGGACCATGCAGTAATACAGTATTTGAGATTTTGAGCATAACAGTGGTCTAATCTAAAACAAATAAAATTGTTCTTGGGTTAGGCTAATGGTGTGCTTTATGTCTAATTTAATATTATTGATTTTATTTATTATAAATAATTCTTTCAGAAAATGTTACTTGTCCTCAAGACAATTTTTTATGTGATCATAACAAATGTATTTCTAAGTTTTGGGTATGTGATGGGGATTATGATTGTGATGACAAAAGTGATGAAAAGCTGGAATTATGTATTCCATGTTTAAGTACTCAGTTTTCTTGTGCAAATACACGAAGATGTATACCATATTCTTGGGTTTGTGATGGAACATTTGACTGTGGTGAAGGAGACACTTCTGATGAACATCAATATTGTGGTACGTTAATTAATTCTATCTATTTTTTAAATTAACATTATACTTTATCTAACATAGAAAATTATTTATCTGTTTAGATTAAAATATAATGTTATAATGAACTTAAATTTATTGGGGTTTTCTGTACACTGTAGAATTTTTGCATTTAATTCATAACAAATTATATCTCTAAATAGAAATTATTCAAATAACTGTGCTTAATATTACCAAGTTGTTTTATTAACATCAATTAATTTATAAACAGTTTTGTAAAATACACTTTTTTTTAACATAATTTGTTAATTTAATTCACTTGATGTGAATTTAAAAAAATACACTACATTTTTTTATTTTAAGTAATTTAATCACACAAATTCTAAAATAAAAAATTTGTAATTGAATACACGTTTAATTAAAATAATTAAAGTACTTTAAAGAACAATACTTTAATTTTCAAAAATAAAGTGCTACATATACTTTATATTACGATTTAATTAAATCTATTTATTTTTATAATTATATTAATTAAAATAATTAAGTATACTTAAATTTATATAAATATAAAATTTAATTTAATGATAATAATAAAATATAATTTTCTTCTAATATTATTATTATTAATAAAAATAAATAAAACGGTAGCACAGTGGGGTCGAGGCACAGTGTAGACAAGGCATAGATGGGACAAGTATAGATGATATTTGACAGTGATTAAAATCACTATCATAAGAAACGCTTCGATGCAAATCTGTAGATAGTGTTTCATTTAAAGAAATTGGTGGATTATTCCAAAAGCAACATCAACTCTTATTTCTTTGAATATATTCTAATTAGTAGTTCTTTGATTTTAAAGNTCTTATTTCTTTAATTATATCCTGATTAGTAGTTCTTTGATTTTAAAATATAATATATGAATAAATACTAATTATAGTTTTTAAATTTAGTATGAAATTGTGAGGCCAGCCATGATGTATGTTTCATAGTGTTGGGCGGTTGATAAGAAAGTAGAGCAGAGAATAAGTGTAGGAAAGATGAGAATGCTTCGTTGGATGAGTGGAGTGACTAGAGAAGATAGGATAAGGAACGAGCATATAAGAGGAAGTAAAGGTGTTGCGTCAATCGTGGATAAGATGACAGAAAATAGACTTAGATTGTTTAGTCATGCTACGAGAGAAGAATCGGAAGCTGTAAGAACAGTTATAGAAATGAATGTTGAAGGAAGAAGAGGTAGAGTNAATGTTGAAGGAAGAAGAGATAGAGGAAGACCAAAAAAGAGATGGAGGGATGCTATTGAATGCGATTTGAGGACAGCTGATATGAGCGTAGAAGATGTGGGAGATCGTGTCAAGTGGAATCTTAGGATAAGGGTGCCCGACCCCAAGTAGTTGGGATTAAGTCAAAGAAAAAGAAAAATATTACCAGATATTCCGGTGGCAATTGACATAATATGATTGTTATTTCG